TTTATCTGCAGTCCCTATTTCGTCAAGATAAGAGCCGACGGGAAACAACGCAGTCGCCTGTCACACACGATCGCACTTCCGGCACTATATATCGAAAATGCGTTACCAAATTCCGAAAAAAGCCACTGATTCTATTAGAGGAGGCTCTGCTCTACAGAGATAAATAGAAACATTTTTATCTGCAGTCCCTATTTCGTCAAGATAAGAGCCGACGGGAAACTGCGCAGTAGCCTGTCACACACGGTCGCACTTCCGGCACTATTTTTCAAAAATGCGTTATCAAATTCGGAAAAAAACAACTGATTCTATTAGTGGAGGCTTTGCTCTACAGAGATAAATAGAAAACTTCTTATCCGCATTCCCTAATTCGACAAGATAATAGCCGACGGGAAACTACGCAGTAGCCTCTCACACACGATTGCACTTCCGGCACTATTTTTCGAAAAGAATTTTCGAAATGGGTAGAAGTTGCTACACTCAGTAGGCAACGTCCTAAGCTTATAGGATAGGCCGAAATTTTCTAAGCGTCTGTTGACATCTAGAAATGATAAACCATAATTAATTAAATAATAATAATAATAAAAATAGTAATAATAATATGGAAATGCGGAACACACTGTCTCTTTCATTTTCTGCACCATATTTCAAAAAAGAATGTCGAAATGGAAAAAGCATTGATAAGCTAAATAGGGAACGGCCTATTCAGAGTTAATAAACCGATATAAACGATAACGTGTAACCTCTCAGTATATTTTGATGACTACTTTTCCGCCACTATATTTCACAATTGGATCGTGAAATGCGAAGAAATGTTGCGAAGGCCACTAAAATACTGCCTATTGCGAACAATGTTTACCAAATTTCCCATTGGAGAATCGAAACCTATAATCTACTCTGGATGATATGTGCCTATGCTGTCCTTAATATACGAGTCTCACGCATACCACTTTATTCCGCACTTCTACGATTTTACGATTTACACTCACACCACTTTATTTTACACATGCTTCATTACACGTTTTGCACTATGTAACTTCACTTCGGTCCACATGTGATATATTTCCACCGAACACATGTTCACACTTAGATATCCTGATCTTAACAAATTTGTCACAATTCCTTGAACTTGTTCTGTTGCCCATTGGTAAATATTCCGTCAATGTTGCAAAACTAACCGCCAATTCCATTGTTCCGAAATAGCAACTGACACTGAGTATCATTGTCCCTGAATAAATATTTAATTGGTTGCAACAATTAAAACGTCTATCAGTGTTAACACGACTTCACGAAACGTTTCATCGAGACATAAAAAGCTTTACTTTAACGCGCGAAAATATTCCGGCATGTCTTACCGGTTTGTTAGATTCGGCATCGACTAGAAATTGATAGCGATTGGACAAGTTATGCGTTTTTATCGCGGGAACATACTTCATTTTTGAAATAGCCATGTGCTGAAGTATCCATGTAGAATATCAAATGATGTCTCTTATATTTATTAATATCAATGAAGCAAATATAAATATATTTCTGTTACAAAAAATTCCAAATTTGTATAATTAATTAATGAACTTGAATTATTAATTATTCCATTATACTAATGGAAAGACAAACCATTAGTATCTTCGGCGATAGTTCAAACACTCTATACAATAATCACCAATAATAAATTAAATAACAAGAAATTCATATCCAGAATTATATTAGAAAGCTCGCTAAAGCTGTACCTTTACGATGCAATTATATAAGTTGATGAATTAATTATAGACGAACATGAAGTTACAGATGAAAGCGAGTGATTTTATTCTTGATAAAATGAATGAAACTACGATGGTTATATGCTTAGGTATTTTTTATTCACTTTGAAAGTTTCACATATATACATTAATTGTTAACGACATAATAAGCAATGACATATAAATGTTAGAATCTGAGTAAATGTCTGTATCGCGAACCGTTGCCAGAAGATGTTTCATAATATATATCACGTAATAATTATCATTATAATGACCATATATATATATATATATATGTAGCAATATTTATACACATATACAGACTACTGCAAATGATTCTATTCAAATACATGAGTTATCCTAATAATTCTTGATATTGTTTATCTTGCATCTCCTGCTGTTCCCATGGTTATGGATCTGTTCTTCCTCTTGGCAACCTCATTGCACTGTGGGTATCCTGGCTAGAATCAAATCATGCTTTATTTTCTTTTGATGTGACCAAACCTGGAGGTCTTGTCCCACAAACTCACCTCCATTGTCTGAGCATATAAGTACTTTCTAACGTCTTTACAAACAGCTTTTCTTTTAATGTTACTAATCTTTTCATTTCCTCAGCTGTCTGACCCTTTTCCTATAAGAACAAGACAATACTAACTGTCAAGTCCATATGTCACAGCCCCATTATTCCTGATGTTTTTCTAATTTTCAATTTCCAATTGTTTCCCAATTTCCTATGCATTTTTTACAGATTTTTGCCTTAATGAAACATTCACACTTTATATTCACTTTATCTTTACTTTTCATACCTTATCATCGATTGTTTATTCTGCATCACTTCAATCATCCTCATATTTTCATGACCCAGTCATTGATGCTACACATCTATCTTTGTTGATACATATACGGCCTCTTTTCTGTTTCTTGATTTCAGGTAAAATGTAGTTCCCCTTCTCACTGCACTCCTTTGAACTCCTCCTCTTTCTTTATATACCTCAGCTTCATCATTCTGAAACTTAAAATATTAGCGTTGGTCAGTGACTGTGATCACTGATACTAATATTTATTCAGATCAGGAACACAACATACTTTTCAATCTCACTGTATTCTATATATCTTGTTATAAGAAAGCATCATCTAAATTAATTTTATTTCCTTTTTATCTGCTTAAATCATCTTCCTTTTCTCAATCTTTATTTCATCATCAAATATTTCTGTCCTGTATGTCATATTGCTAGCTGACCTAGAAACCAATAGATATATCATACATTACATATTTTTATTACTGCTTCAATCTTTTCTTTCCATGAAAAATAATTATTGGTATCTAATGACTCTATACTGGTAATATTCCATGAGTCTGATATTTTTCCTATATTGTATGTACCTGTTTATTTCAAAGGAATATTGTCTGTTTACAACCAGGCTCTGCTATCACTAATGAAAGATGGAAAAACAATGGCTTATATTTTACACTATTTATTTACAACTGAAGGATATATTAATACAAAGACTTACATTCTTTTGTGTGATGCAGACACATCTTTATGGACACAACAATGTTTCCCACGATTTCCTGCAATTTTTTCCTCCTTTTCCTATGCATTCTCCTGTTCACACAGAGAAGAATTAACAAATAACTCAATTTCTGTGCTCAATTTATGATTTTTATAATTATTAATAATTATTTGATATTACTTTTATAATGCGCCCATGTAGTTTATAAATTAGCTGCATAGAAGATAATTTTTAATGACAAATCATTAATATCTTCGACAATATTTCGAACACTTCGTAAAATAATTCATAATAATCAACTAATAAACAAGAAATTAATTTCGTTCAGTAATAGAATCACAGACTGTGCTCCTGGCGACACCTGTGGTCCTGTTATCGAACTAGAGCTTCGAGTTCAAAATCATAGATGGCACTGATATCACTGGAATTGGTTACTATCTCTGGTTATGTGCTCCTAATACATCTTGATAAATCGATTCGACAGAGGATTATTTACGAATTACTCAAACTCTGTGATTAATTTATGAACTTTTATGATTGCATTGTAAAGGCAGATCCTTCAAGAACTTTCTAATATAATTTTGGATATAAATATGTTGCTAATTAAATAATTACTAGTAATTATTGCACAGTGTTTGAATTTTTGCTGCACATACCACTAGTTTTGCATTAATTACTATCTTCTGCGTAATCAATTTATGAACTTCATGCACGCATTGGGAAAATAATGTTCTTGCGCATCTTCTCATATTATTTTTTATCACATTTTACTTCTTCTTTTGTCCATAATTAATTATTTTGTCGGTTAACTATACTGATTGTTAATATCAAATCACGTACACCTTCAAATAATAATTAATAACTAATTGGCATCAAATTATGTACGAAAAGTACATAAGATGTTGTCCAAAGTTTCAGCTTTTTGACGCAATTACAAAAATTCACGAATTAAGTATGAAAACTTGGATATTTGTGATTTTTCACGGTCGAGTCTACTCTTTCCTTTTCTAACCACATGCTGTCTTTGTCAATCATGTTACCAAGTCTTCGGTGACCTCCTCTACTATTTTGTATTCCTGTTACTATTCTGAGCTTTGGGTCCAAAATCATAGATGGTGCTGATCGCAGGCAGTAAAACTTTCATTTGAACTAGATATCTATTCTAGTCATGTGCTCCTAATACATCCTAATAAATAAATTCGATAGTAGAAAATTAATAAATTTCCAAGTTTCTGTAATTAATTCATGAACATTTATAGCTGTACAGCAAAGTTGGAATTATAGGCAACATTCATATACAATAATTGTATATAATTTGATGCTAGTTAATTTATTATTCATAATTATTTGATGGTGTATGTCATTTTGTAACAACGATTCACATGATTGCTCGCTGAAATATTTAATGCTGAACAAAACTAGAAGTAAAATGTGAACAAAAGTTGATACGAGAATATGCAAATTCTAAAATTGTATAGGAATGTTGCTCATAATGTATAATGTATGCTTTACGTTTTCAATTTTACATGTAAAGTAAGCTTAATAGTATGCTTCATCAACAAAATGTTTTTGATTTTCTTAAAGAGTGATTATTTTATTAATAAGCTAATTAAAAGCCAAAATGGATTTAAAGTATCATTTTTAACTTAAATGACAAGTAAATAACTTATGAACTTACATTTTAAATAAAGTTCGATTCATGAAAACAGTAAAGTGCATTTTACGTAAATACGTGAATTGTAGATAGAGGGCTTATCGTGTTTGACGTTTGTGGAAGGAAGAGTACTGATTATTTACAATATTTAAGATCTTCAAAGTTCGAAGGAATACGTAAATGACAATGGACGCCAACGTAGATGATGATGAAACACATAGCGAATTGGGTATATCTTTTTATATGGCTTATATTTAAACGTATGAAATTCATTTTAAAAATTATAGGTTATGTATGTAATTTTTCACATATTGTTCCAAGATTGTACAAATTTTCCATTTCAGTTACTTATAAAATATGAATTGTACCCCAAAAATATTGATAATTTTACAAATATGTTATTTTTAGGTAATAAATTTATTACCACTATACTATTATATTATCGTATTATCCTCGTAAATTACTTTAGGTTTCTCTATATATAGTATATATATATATATATACATATACACACACACACACACACACACGCACGCGCGCGCGCGCACACACACACACACACACACTTTTTTTAATAAAGAATTTTAGGAAAAGATAAAAACACTTGTTTTGTAGAATGTCCAGAAAATAGACAATATAATGCAGAGGAAGATTTTTCGGAAGAAAATACAGATGAATCATCTGTATCTACTGAAAGCACTTTTGATTTGACATTACCAGCAACACATTCTGTAAGTTTTCAATAAATGCTTATACATTTATGAAAAACACTTATTTTTAACCTTATATGTAACATAAAGAAAGCATTATATTTTAATTATGTTTTGGAATTGTATTATGACAACAAATATTTTGTACAATTGTTTTTTTATAAACAAAAATGTTTTAAATATATAATTTGTATTCATTTAGTAGTATCGAATCAATTCTTAATCATATGTAAATATTTTATTAGTATTTAGGACATAACTTGGAAGAACTTAGAGGAAGGACAATATTGGGTGATTGGCTTTATTTGAATTTACCATTGCTAGTGAAACAGTCTGTAATGTTATTTCCTGGGCAAACATTACCAATGACAGTATTTGATACACAAACCATTGACATGATAAAAACTTGTATTGAAAGTGATAAAACATTTGGTGTTGTATATTTGGGACATGATAGAATGGTACCGATAGGCACAACTGCAGAAATTTATGAGTGCATGTATGATCTTGGACAAGGTTTCCGTTTGAAAGCTAAAGGTAGACAAAGATTTAAGATCCTGAAAGTTATAATTCACGTAGGTTTTAATATATAATATATTTTGAAATATATAATACAATAGCTAATAATAATATATAAGTTAATAAACTTACAAATCTAACATACAATTTCTTTTATTAAAGCAATATTTCTTAAGTAAATTTTTAAAATGAATTATTAACGTATTAATTTTTATACATATAGGGCTATGGTAGAATATCAGCCCACGTAAAAGTTTTACCAGAAGTAACACTTGGACCACCATTTTTGGATGAACGTTTAGCTTCGTTAGATCACTTACGAATACATCCGAAAAACGATGATGATTTTAAGAAGCAAGAAAAAGTAGAAAATTTAGATGCTGCAGTAACTACTTGGCCTGCTTGGGTGTACAGGCAATATGATCCTTTACGACTTTCATTAAAAATACGACAACGTTTGCAATTTATCGAAAGCAGTATGTACTGTAAACGATTTTTGTACAGTATCTCATAATTGTGATATTTAAATTATTAAACTATTAAAACTTATTTACTTAATTTTAGAGGGAAGTAACATACCAGAACATCCTGTATATTTGTCATTTTGGGTTGCCCAAAACTTGTTCATAGATGATGATGAACGAATCGTCTTACTAAATTATGATTGTGCAATTTCAAGGTTACAAAGAGAAGTTAAATATCTTGTAGAGGTATGTAAAATTAATGATTCTTATTAAAACTTTATAAATATAATCATTTTTAAATTTTAGAATTAATTAATCTATTTTTTTGTGTAGGACAAAATATTTGTTTGTTGTAATTGTGATTCCTACATTGGAAGACAATCACATATATTTCCAATGAGTAAGGAAGGCCCACAGGGTACCTATTGTAATCCTTCTGGAATTATACATGAAACTGTTACTTTATATCACGCGCAAGGGCTTACGCTAAGTGAAGATCCACCGTCAATAAATTATACATGGTTCCCAGGGTAAGAATTATTATTCCATTCATATATTTTATTCTTTCATTTTCTATAATAAATTATTCTATACGATTAGATATGCTTGGATTGTGGCAACATGTAAACATTGTGGTGATCATATGGGTTGGAAGTTTACAGCAGTTCAGAATAATTTAAAACCTAAGGCGTTTTGGGCCTTGGTACGTAAGAGTTTGAAAAACAAAGAAAAGTGAGCAAACCAAAAATTCTTTAAATACATTAGATC